CAATAATCGATAAAATTGGCTATAATTTTTTGTGACTATCGATTGGCCATCGGTTGATCAATGTGAACTGATATCAATTAAGTAATTAACATCGATTACCATCGATTGATCGATTGGATTTCCGATGATCGGTTTTTATCGATTAAGTACGCCGGGTATCTCTAGAAAATAATGAAGTTTTTTGCAGAATTGTGCACCGTTAGCTTATTTCAATACATCGAAATCATCGTGCCTTTCCCGCCTCATATCTCGTCCTGACAAAGCGGGATCATAAAAACAGCCCCTTATTCAGAAAATTGCGCATGCTGCCTTTGATCCCTTTGGCATGAGGCAGCACTTTCCTTGCAATAGTAACTTCTAGTATTTTGTTAAATAGTCCATGGTGGTGTTCGTGAGTCTCAACCCGGGTATTCGGAAAGTCAAATCGTAATCTGGAGTATGTTATTTTTTAAAATTTCTGTGACGTCAAAATACGTCATAAATCTGATCATCCGTACATTCGTACATGCACATAAAATCGAGTTGTCGCTCGGCTATACATAACTCGGCCAACCGGAAACGGACTGGTGCGAGAAAAACACATCGTCAAGAATAGGTGGCTGCCTACGGCAATTTTGACTTAGATCAAGTTTCAATTCTGGTTAATTAACTTGCAATGTTGCGAACATTATTTCGTTTCACCCCAATTTTGTGCCTTTTAATTTAGATTTGCGTCCTATAAGGAAAAATTATTGTAAAATGGCTGTAGTTTTTGCTACAATTTAGCAGAAGAAATACATTTTGTGTGCGTCCTCGCGCGTTTTTTCGTGACACTCAGCTGACCCGCCATGCATGCTTACATAAACACAAGTTTATAATTAAAACGTTTTCAGCAAGATCATATTTCACATGTTTAAGACATAGATAACATGGCCGGTTGATATACATGACGCTATAATTTTCGGGATTTATATCGCTGTGTTAATATTTCAATGATGGCTAGCTGTATGTTGGGTTACCTAATACTTAGTGTATTCATGCTGGGACTTGCCGAGCTAAAAGGTAAGTTATGCTTTCATAAAACTTATTGTGAAATATAATCACGAAACCAGGAAGTTAAACTGCAGTCGCCCTTCTCAAATACGCCAAAAACCTCTGTTGTTTGACTATGCTTTTCATTTGAAGTGAGATCGTTTGATCTAACATTCAGGCATGGTTTCTCTTGCGTTGTCACTAGTATAACAGTTTGTCCGCTGGAAATGAATAATATCTTTGAAACTATAGCGTGATCAATCAGGATAAACTCGGCCACTCTGTTTACAAATTGCAAACAGTCCTGCTGCTTTTAGCTATATATTGCTGCATGCTATGTTTAACAATTTGTTTTTAAACGACGACCTTGTCCCAGTAGACTTTTAGGAGTAGCTAGAAGTAGATATCGCGTGCTAGGTCCTTGCCCTGTTAATTTGTAACATGGCAACGCAAAACACTTTCAGCTTAGATTCCTATTGCATATAGCCTACAGATTAGTCTGTTGATATTTTAATTTACTTTCGAATTTTGTGTTTAGTATCGGTGTCGATGTATTTTGTGTTTATTGTGTTTAGTATAGGAATGACCACAAAGGTATTCCATTACGTTTTCTTTTAAGATCGTGTAGTTTCACTTTCTCTTCACATTCTTGGATATCTATTTGAATATTTCGTCGATATCTATTGGCATACTTCGGTATCAAATACAGGGACCGCAGAGCCTGTTAAAAGTGTGTGTGTGTGTGTGGGGGGGGGGGGCAGGATAAGACGGGAGCTATTCCACGCAGGCAGGCTTGATTTTATCCGGTAACTTTTTATTATCCACCGAAAAAGTGGGGGACCATGGCCCACCTGTCCCCCTGTTCCGCGGTCCCTGAGATACATGTATGAGTTCTGCACTCTGTAGACTATATATAGCAATTATTGCTAAAGACACAACAGATTTGCAGTAACTACAGCATACATGGATAGAAAGTTTATGTAGTGTGTCGTAAAAAGAAATTTCCAGGATCGACGCTAACAATAATTATATTTATGAGCTTCATTTTAAGCAAGAATGTATTTTAACCGGCGCGTATTTTCTGTGGAAACGTATACATATCTTACAAATATCTGTAATTTGATAAACATACCAAGCGTGCGTTTTGCTCAAAATTTACCTATTTCAGGAGTACGAAAAACGTTTGTTACCGACAGCGTTCCCACCGAAAGACTGCCGGAAAGAAGCTATGCATTACCCAAACGCGAGCGCCGAAAACTCGTGCGAAATGCGCTTGAAATTTCCCATGAATTCCGGTGCAAGACACGGCGTTGACTTCAAAAGTGCAGTCTATCAAGGAACTGTAACATTTAACTTGCTAGCCGAGTACATTTGTTTTGGTACTTTAAGATACAAAATTTAGAACATGCACATTTTTTTATTCCATATTGCATAAATATGCTCAGCCTCAGTGCATGGGCAGGCTATATATTGCTTTGGCTGGATATACAAAATACCTGTACTTATACCTGTCATATAATTTTCAGCCATATACTGTAGATATTAGGGTTACAATACTATGTGGCGAACATTGATGTGGTCAAAGATATTTCAAATGTTCCTTCTTTGATACACATGTGACATAGCATCTGAATGATCTGTCGTATAACTGATACAACAAGACTGCATGCATGCAGGCAAAAAATTCTTGATCTTGTACAATGTCAGGTCGATTCAGATACAATTATGATAGGCTATATTGCAAAGGTTTCAAAGGTTTATTATATGTCAATTATTGACAAATCTAGCAAAGAATGAACAGATTGAACAGTCATTTACATTACAGGGTTATATATCATCACAGTGATATCATAAGTTGAAAAATTTACATATAGGCAATAACCCGTAAAAATCTTCTAACATTTTGTCCTGATTTTTCATGAGGAAAGATTTGTTCTTACTTGACGAGACTTTCTTGAGAGCAGAGTTTATATCAGGTCCGAATAAGTCTTCTTTTATTAGCTTTGTTTTAATGTCGATGACAATAGAAGCTAGATTCTCTTTCGAAAGACGCGTTTCCTGTTCGGCAGATTTTGTTGTGCTCGAAGGTATTAAATGAACAGCATCACGATGCTGCGCGAGTTTGTGTGTTTCGTCAAGCTAGCCTCCCGTTTTGACTTGCAGATGTTCGTGTATTGGGGGCAGGGAAACAATCTTTTACCCTCATTTTCACTTATAGCCTCGACAAATTCAGCGTCGTCTTCGTCGCTTTCCGTATCAACAACAGAAACATCGAGGTTATATAATACATAGTCGATTGAGTCACTTGGTTTCGAACTCCACGTCTTCAACAACAATTTCTGGCTCGCATAACTCCACATCTCCCTCGTTAGCCATGTCATAGTCTTGTTCACGTTCCATTTCATTGTCTTTCGTGGCATTTGAGCCACAAGTTAGGAAATTATATAGGATTTCATACAACGCTATTGTAATTTGACAGTGTAAATTATAGTATCGCCATTTGCACGATGCACTATATTGGTCATGTGACTATAATTTTGGCTGTGGATCGACATCATTTTCCGCTCCCTTTGAAGTTTGCCGGCTAGCATAACCAGTCTCCTTCTATTAACTGTGTTCAACAAAGAGCCTGAGAATATAATATTATTTCTAGACTCCTTCGATAATGACCGATAATGTAACCGCTTCGGCCTTCAATGTAAACAATGACGTCACCGGTGGATTTTTCCACCGGTGATATTTGGCGCGCTGCAAGTGACAAAAGTCCTTTCCACAGAGGAAGTGAAGCGCGCCATAGAAGGGCCTGGAAAGGACTTTGGAAAGTCTATAACATACCTAACATATATAAATGTTGGGAAATTGATAATTTTGTAATTAAAAGTGATCTTTTTAGGCGATTTTCCATTTGTAAAAATATTCTCAAAAAATTATAGTGTTACCATGACAACTACTTTGGATATTTCATGTTCGGAAAGATGACAATGGATTTGTCAGCAAGGCGAGGGTTTCTGCATGCATGTATTTTCTAGTTTTAGTTTAGGTTTCCTCCTAGGATATATACTATGAGAAATAGTATTACTAAAAAGTAACATACTTGGTAAAACTTTTCTGCCTTTTGTTTTGGCTGAAAGTGCAGGCTACGCGTGTAATACTCGGTATTGTTTTATAGTCATGAAATTGTGTTTACCCAGCTAATGACGTCAGATAATGTATGTTGTAGCATAACGGTGATTGTTGAACCTTTTATTAATTTTTTTCAACCGAACTAAACGCAAAAAACCGGCCAAAATATAAAATTAAGTATTCCGTAAGTATACCTAATAGATATAAGCAATAAAAATTTTGGTTGCCAATGTCCTTTAAAGTGTTCTTTATGAAAACTAAACTGCGTTTATCGATAAACTTTGAGTTTGAAATAAAATGATTTTAAATTCTCGCATGCAAATAACTTTGCTTTCTTTTTTAATTAAGAATTTTAAGATAATAAAGACGGGTAATCAATAAAGATACACTGAAATTATATGCTCTCTTTTTTCATTTAAAATATACGCATCGATCAGCTTTTGAAAGAAGTAGCGTATATAAAGCAAACAAAGCATCAACATTTATATTAAAGACCTTTAATTAATTTACTCTTTCGCATCTCCTTGCCGACACGCGGTTTCACATTACATTACGAGTCAATATTTCTAATGTAAATATCTCGGCGGGTATTTACCCCCCTTTAAAACAAAACCCACCATTGAGATCATCACAAAATAACCTTTCGAACGGGGGGTCAAGTGCCGTCAAGACATTACACAAACCGAAACAATCATAGTTTGTACTCACCGCTTGGCAAAACATTCTGTATTGGATATCGAGAAAAAGTTGAATATTTTCTAAACTTTTTGTCATTTTCTAAAAGGCTATATGAGTAAAACACTCTTTGTATTCAAGCGCTTTCGTGTAGAAAGTTTCGTATGAATACGGCCAGTAGAAATATTTATTTTGAATTTTGAATTTTTCAAAATATCGGCTGATATCGGGTTTTTACTCGCACTCGCGTACATTGCGCAATAATTGGCCAATAAGAAGCTCCTGTGGCCGGGATGACGTCAAACTCACGCGTGTAGGTGCAATTTGACCTTCCGAATCCATTTCTGGCCTTTGCAGGGTCATACGATACAAACGTCGCATTGTTTTGACGGTTTTCGGTCGTATTTCCGGTTGGGATTAACTCACTTCGAACTCCCAGTCGGACAAGAAATGGAAATATATTGATAAAAGATACAAATTTGAAGATACAGGCTTACAAATAACACTGTAGATAGTGTTTTTGATGGGGATTCTAACAAGAATACTACAAAGACGATATGTTCGAAGGGGCCGAAGTTATTTTCGGCGAAAGGTATGGCTAGTCGATATTTTTGTTCAGACAATTGCGTAATTTGATACAATATGATCGTGTTTGACTTTCAAAGGCCCATAAATCGCTACAATGTTGATAATGACCATAACTATAGGGAGGAATTAGTTGAATCTTTTATTTCTGAATCGAATGGTGGTATTTTTGTCTTCATAGCATGCACTGAACCGAAGATATGAAATTTCTTAGCCGTCGATCTCTCGAGATCGACGGGACTGGGACGCGATGCATAAGAGTTTTAAGGTAAAAAGTATGACTGATCTTCCCATTGTGGCAAAAAGTAACACTGATCTATCCATTGTGGTAGAGCACAATAGGCAATTCCGGCTTTTAATTTATGTGCGCAGGGGCTGACGGGAAGTAAGTTATCGTATTGCTAATTATGCTGAAAAAGTTCAATAAAAACTGCCGAAACAACCAAAATATTTCAATGTTTACAAATATAAGCTATCAGTACGTGTTTACACGGCCACCACTTTTAGTAAATTGTACCCTTACTAATAGGCAAAGGTCACCAACAGTGCGGTTCTTGAATGAGCAGATATATTCCCTTGATGTACACCTTCCTCAGACAACGTAGACTGAGGAGGTTGGGTCATGTCCGCCGAATGGATGATAACCGAATCCCCAAGGTCATCTTGTATGGGGAGTTAGAACTTGGGTCGAGCCCTGTTGGCAGACCTAATTTTCGATTCAGGGACGTCGGCAAGAGAGACATGCTCGCGATTGGTCTAACTCCCGACAACGGGAAACAATTTGCTGAAGGTCGTAGCAAGTGAAAGAAGACAAGCAGCCAGGCTCTTTGAGCAGGGGAGAAAAAACTGAAAGTCGAAGCTGATGCAAAGAGGGCGAGGAGAAAACTGCTGCGAAGACAGCAGCATCAGCACCTGTAGAATCAAGCTTTACTTGTGTGGTCTGTGACCGTGTCTGCCGATCGAGAATTGGTCTGTTCAGTCACCAGAGAAAGTGTTCGAAGCTGCGTCAAGTTAAGGACTACGTCCGACAACTACCTATGATGATGAAAGTACGCTAGCATTTTAAGCCGTGGCAGGCAAGTTTTCTAACAGGGTTGATCAAAATTGCACTGAAGGTTAAAGCTCTGTTTTACTCGAGCTCGTTCTTACCAGTATTAAATTCATACAAAAGTAAATACAAGACAGTAATCTCCATACAATAATTTATTTCAAGAAAATTATTTAGGTGTCGTCCTGACGCCGCCGTAGTACATGCGTAACAGTGGCGTAGCGGAGGAAGAGGGAGCCCTTAGGCATATTGGTGTGGCAGGGCCCGCGGAGCGTATTAGAGAGTGGGGGGGGGGCTAAAGGGTGAGGTTTAATTAATTTAGAAAGTTTCATTTAGATTTCTATTTTAATAATTTTGGCTGCCAAAAAAAGTGGGGGGGCTAAAGCCCCCCCAGCCCCCCGTCTCCGCGGTCCCTGTGTGGGCCCCCTAACAGTCGGGCGCCCTTCGTTTTTTAACTAACCCTACCCAATGAGCGTTACGCATAGAAATAATAGATATAGAATGCCTACTTGATCACGAATCATGTCTCCACTTTTTCTCATGCGTGCCCTTATAAATCCGCTATGTTTGAATTTGACTAGGAGTGCAAACTACAAAGTATAAACAAAGCTAAAACTACGTTTTCATCGTCAAAACGTTTATCTTGTTGTCTAATTTTTAGTTTGGGGATAGATTTTGAATTTTTTGAAGGCACAAACTGTCAAAGCAAATGTGCAGTTACAAAAACGGTGAAAATCGTGCAGTCTTGTAAACAAAGTATTTTCGCCGGTTTCTCGAAATTTACTCTTAAAACATTTTTTCATGCTTTGAACGTCACTATACTGTCACTGTTTTGCTAATATATCTTATAAGATTACAAAATGATAGTTCTTTCTTCGTCGGGTTTCGTTTTTCTTTGATGTAAACGAAGGTTTTTTATTTTTTTGAAACAAAAAGATTTAGTTGTCGATAGACTGTAAATTGTCCAAATAATCGTCGAAAACTATGGTTTCAAAAGCGTTGCCTCAAGCTCAAGCAACACAGAAAAATATGAAAAGTAACTGTCTAAGTTTAAAAATATTACTGAACTTCATTTATATTATATTATAAAAAAGTTGAAGTATTTATAGAACATACCTATTGAGTTTGAGTTTGTCTTGCTTGATCTTTCGGGTTTTGTTTTGGCTTGCACAACAACGTTGAAAATTTATTTTTAAACGATGATTTCTGTATATATTCTGTTCAGAACTGTTGCTTTTCGTAAAAAAAGCCCACTAGAATGGGTTTTTAGACACTTTTTTCACTTTTTTTCCATTTTAAGTCTCGATATAAAACTTTTTGCAAACTTTGCATTTGAAAAAACAATTTGCACTCTCTGCAACCGCGCGAAATTTCCATTGAAATTCACTGCCGCCTGGGAGTCTGGGAACCAAAATGCCCTTATAAATCGGCCATTTTGTGGAGACAAATTTTTCACTGAGAAAGGATAGGAGTACGCATTCTATATCTATTATTTCTATGGCGTTACGCCACTGATGCATAAACTCCCTATTATAAAGATTTATACGTCACTACGCCACTGCGAATCAGAGATTGAGCATCGCCGCATGGTTTAGATTCACACCTACGGCTAGAAAAACAGTTGGTAGAATATCTTCACGGTAACGCAAGGAAATATTATTGAATTTGAATCTATTTTAATCATTTTTAAACCTATTTAATACCACTAACTATTGGGACTCCTATGCTCAAAGTCGCAAAACCTCGAACTCGAAGCGCGATGGAAATGCAATATGTAATTAAAAGTTCTGAAACTCTTCAGTTACGGTTGCTACGTCGAACGAGTTTTTTTGTTTTTGCGTAAAAAGCGCTGTTAAATTATGTATAATTTGGCAATTCATGTGATTTTAATCCATTTCGGATTTTATTTGAGTCACTTCAATAACAAACACGTCAAAATTCATTGGATTTTTACACATTTTAACGTTAAAAACAGTAATTGTTTGTAGGACATACGCTTGATATCATAATAGTCGACCTGCATCTAAGGACGAAAACGGACTTAATTTATAGCCTCATTATATAATATCATTATCGAGACGTAAGCATAAGCATAATCGCTGATTCCTACTGGTTGCAGGCGTATTCTGGGACCCAAAGTCGCCGTAACTTAGGGCGACTTAAGACGACTTTAGGAAAATTCGATGAAAAGTCATAACAATTTTTGACGACTTTGTGCGACTTTGGACAATTTTGTTGTGATTAAAGGCAATCTAAGTTAAGTTAGTTTGGACTAATTAAAAGGCTGAACTCGCCCATGCTATAGTTTCAAAAAAGTACTAGACAATATGCAGCTTGAAAAACTGTCCAATTTGATTTTGCTCGTACCTCCCATGTTTCGCTCACCAATATAACAGGCGAGAGGGAGGGACAATATTATATTTAATATATATAATATATTTAATTTATTCTTTTTTATTTAAATCATAAACAGCAATATGATGCATACACTTTTAGTAAGCCCAGAAACATATAAATTGGACAATACCAAATATTAGCTATAAATATTAAACACTCAATTAAAATTTTGTTCGGGCTTGAGCTATTTAGTGCATTATAATATAACAAATTCAACAATTATAATAATTTATAAAAATATAAATATAATATAAATTAACAAAACAAAAATTTTATATTTGTAAACTGGATAAAGTTTCAGAGTAAGATATACTTATAAACAAAATATTACTGTAAACAATCAAAACTTAGTTTCAATTTTCATACATAATAGTAATTTTGACCTTACAGAGTGTGTTCCCAACAGGCCCGTAGCTGGCTCTCAATTTCTGGGGGGGGGGGGCACTGCAGAAAGAATGTAACAGAGGGGTTGGGATGATTTTAACTTTCGTGCTAGCAGCTAGTTTTCCTTTCCAGTCAATTTTGTGAGTCTTTAAAGTTCTGTATAGGGTTCGTTCAGCCGTCTGCTATCTAGCCTAGCTTCTAACAAAGAGGTTATTTATTTTAGACCACAAGCAATCTATTTTCATACAAAAATTGACTATGACTATGAGCCTCAAGTATTTTAAAATCTTCTACGGTCGCTGTAGTACTGTATATCATGTTTCACAGCCGTTCAAAATGGAAATTAAGCGTTTTTTTACAGTAATATTAAAGTATTATCAAGTAATTAAACTTGATTTGCTTTACTGGTTTTTACAAAATTACAAATCACGCACTATTTGTGGATATTTTTTATCTAAATTAATACAAAAATATGAAATTAACCTCAGCATATAGTAAGAAATTAGGCTACGCCTTTGTTGGCTTGGATATGACAGCCACGTTGTCTATTTTTTAAATGGCAAAAAATGTGGAATAAGGGGGGGGGGCATAATTTCAATTTTATTTCCGAGTGGGGGGGGGGG